AATCGTGTATAGCTCAATATATCACTTGATGATTGATTGGATATTCTTTGCTGTAGAATTCGAATATTGCTCTTGTTCTTGTTGTAATTCAAGTGTCGAATTCTTGTTGGTCTTCAAGTCTGCTTGGACAATTTATAGCCAATGAAAGCTATTTGCCCGTTGATCAACTTTCGATCTCGATCGTTCATTTTGAATTGTAGTTGATCAAATAATATTGTCAACTTGACCTGAAATATTAGGTAGATGTCATTTCTCCTTTTGTCAGATGATTTGAATAATTTGCCCGTTGCCGTGTCTTGAATTTTGTAGCCTCCAAAATTTGAATAAGTTCGGCGCGGCAATCTTTGACATTTCTGGTCCTTCATAAATGCTCTGACATGTCAAGTTGATCAAATAATTTATCTGCTGATTCTTGCTTGAGTATAAAACAATTTCTTCGCGAATCAGCCTTCTTCGAGCGTCTCCGGTTCCACCGTAAAAACTTGATGATCAGATGAAAATATATCAGATATTTTCTCCTTCATGATCCTTGTAAAATAATATACTGGAACCTCTGTAAAAACTTCATAGTTGTTCATGGTGAGATGCTCTGTTTCGAATTTCAGCTTGGTCCACCATACTTGGTGTGATTCTCCATATGGTGCATGGCTCTTGTGAGACTTGTGCATTTTACTTAGTCTCCATATTGGCTAGTCTCCAATACATTCAAGCTAGTCTCCCATACGGTTCAATATACTTGAGCTAGTCTCCCATACGGTGGAGGTTAGTCTCCCATACGGTCCAAGCTAGTCTCCCATACGGTGGAGCTAGTCTCCCAAGCAAGTTAAAAATGCTTCACTTGGGATTTGAACTTAGGATCATTTGGCATAGCTCACACGCGTTTCTTCCAACTCCTCTAGCATGGTTCTTGGTGACTTATCCGCAACATAATTGTGTTAAGCTATAATCCCGCTTAACTTCTTCAAATAAATTATGATCCTCCAAACTTGTACGTGGGTTGCATGATATAGGTGCACCATACTCCGTAGACTCTAACTGACTCAAATGTAACAAAAATGGGGACTACTTGATTTTTCAAAAATACATTCGGCTCATCAAAATTTACAATATATTCCTAACAGTAAAGAATCTAGCATTAATTAGCCGAATTATCATCAACGCATGGGAAATACACATCACAATGCATGAGCTGGAAAAATGTAATAGCAGTAACTTAAGTCAAAACGGTGTAGTATTAGGTGGGCGGGAAAATGAAAACTTCAGCAAGTTATTGCTTTATTATAGAGTTTTTAGATTAAATTATGTTATGAGTTTATGTGTATTATGTATTATGTATTATGTTGGATTATGTGTATTCTGTTTTGAGTTTATGTGTATTATGTATTATGTTAGATTATGCGTATTCTATTATGAGTTTATGTGTTTTCTGTTATGAGTTTATGTACATTCGAAACGGATAATTTTTTTTTTTTTGAACTTAACAATAGAAATGGGAAACATGATTTCTAAAAAAAAAACATGGTCAAAACGACGCCTTTTGGTCAGGACGCACAATGCATTGTGCGCCCTGGTGCACGGTATAATTTGCCTATACTGAATGTTTACAACTTACATATTGAATGTTCACAATTCAAAATGTGAACATTTAATATATAAAATTGTGAACATTCCGTAGGTAAATTGTGAACATTTAATATATAAAAATAAAAATTGTGAACATTTAGTATATAAATTGTGGATTTTTGACCGCGGTTCCACCTTGCAAGGTGGACTCAAGTCCACATAATAATTTTCCATTAAATAACTAATACACTGGAATAGGCCGTTTGGTTGAAATGAAGAATTATGGAAGAAAAAAATTTGTAATTTTATGAGAAAGGAATACGATAATAATAAAGTATGAATTCTAGTTTCATTGTTTAGTATGTATGAATAAAATTACTGTAAATTTCAATTATACTGTTTGGTGTATATGAGAATTTAAATGGAATAAAAAGTATAAAGATAAAAAAAGTCTAATGTGGTTTAAAAGTCATGGGCTTTTGTAAACTTTTTTATTTTTATGTTTATTTTATTTTAGGACTTTTGTATATTTTTCCTTTTCAAATATAAATAGTTGAAATCCGACACGTAACCCCAAGATTTCAAATTTTTCTTTTTACCAATTCTGAATATTTTATCTCTCTATCTAAACTCTATTTTTTTTCTCCCTATTTAAACTCTATAAATCTTATACCTAAATTCGATAAATTATTTTTTATCATTATCCTATATTTTCTTCATAGCTAAACTCTACCACTTTTGTTTCCCTCCTAAACTTTACCATCTTTTTCTATAAATTCTACAGACTATTTTTTCTTCATTATTGCTCGTATATTTTGATTTTTATTTTTTCTACAAACTTTTTATCCTTATCTTCCAAACTTTTCTCTCTAACTTCTAAACTTTATCAATGAACTTTTTCTCCTCAAATACATTAACAAAGCAAATTTTTCATCTATCACCATCAAATTTTAGTATATTTTTCATAATATTCATATAAATACTTGTATATTGTGAGTTTTATTCTTTTATGTTTATATTCGTAATATAATTTTTTTCCTTTTTTTTTTTTTTAACAACAAGCTACTGCGAATAGCGAACTGTTGTTCACAATCCCAAATTGCTATTGCAAATAATAACTATTTTGCTTGATGCCTAACAATATATCAAGTATAACTTTTAATATATTATGAATATTATATTTTTAATTTCTTTATTTTAAGCAACTATTAATTACATTTTTATATGTTTTATTTAAAAAATTTTGTTACGACGGATAAAAATAATAACATTGAAAATGTTGGTGTGGGTGAAACTATAAAATAAGAAAATTTTAATGATATATTATAACATGTTTTGCAAGAAAATTATAAATGATAAGAATCAAAATCATTGAAAGTTTATAAATATGTATTCACACTAGTTATCGTTAGACCTTCGGGTCTCCTAGCGCCTTGCGCTTCCCGATCAAAGCGACCTACACGGTCTTGCTATCGTTAGACCATCGGGTCTCCTAGTATCCCCCGCTTGGAACTCTCGGTTCGTAAACTGAGTGCAAAAAGGGAGAAATCGCCTCGATCGCACGTAATCCGACTTTCCGGTCATACCTAAATCCAATACCATGATTGGTAAAGTTAGATCTCCCGATCGCAATTAATCCGTCCAATCGGTCATACCTAGCAATTCGATCATGGCTAGTTTCCCGATCGCTAGATCGGGAAAGATTCGACCTCTCGAATCATGTTGTAAAACCGACCCCTAGGTCGGGCAATCCCTTTCTTTAGTCCACCAGACTGCGTTTAGCATTGTGCTCTTTTTCCCTTGGCTAAAACTTTTTCCCACTAGTTTTTTATTAGTTTAAGGTTTTTAACGAGGCAACCAGCGTAGGTCGTAGACCGTTTTTAGTCAGTTTTTCCAGCCCGAACCCTTCCTCATTCACTCAACGTCAGGGCACAGACTGAGGGGGCTTCTTGATGGGGAATATACCCCGGGTTCAAGCTCTCCGTACACTCCGTGCTCTCATTTTATAGTCGGGTCGGGGTCAAACGGTTCTAGTCCCGGTCTACGGGTCAAAGTCAAAGATAGCGGGTCAATCCTTGGGCCTATATAAGGGCCATTGACCCTCCTTCTTAGGGGGTTCTTTCCTCTCCACTCTCCCTCTCTCTAAAGCACTCTCTATTAGAAAGAGGATTTTTTTAGGAATTGGGCGGGAAGTTAAAGTTCAGGATTTTGTTTTTATATATAGTATAGGTTAGAATAGGAATTGTATTACACTATTTTATAATATTAGAATAAGCATTTTAACTTAGAATTATAGTACGAATATGAAAGTAGAAAATAATATATTTTTATTAGAAAGAGAGATTTTTAAGCAATTGGACGGGAAGTTAAAGTTCAGGATTTTGTTTTTATATATAGTATAGATGTGTGTGTGTAAACTGTAAAACTATGTTGATGCAAAAGGATTCAAACCCTTGACGTTTACTATTTCCAAACATGTGTTCTACCAACTAATCTAACTCATTTATTATTAGAGGTAATACCATCCGAGGTCCTCCGAGTATAGTGGTTTTGCCAAATTTAGTCCTAAACTTTCAAATTGACCATATATGGTCCTACGACTTTCAAATTTAATCATTTGTGGTCCAAGTTAACCACTCATGGTCCTTCAATTATTAAATTTTAACCAACCATGGTCCTTTCAAGAGGATCACAACTGGTTAAGTTTTGAAACTCGAAGGACCATGAGTTGTTAACTTGGACTACAAATGGTTAAATTTGAAAGTCGAAGGACCACAGATGGTCAATTTGAAAGTTTAGGACTAAACGTGGCAAAACCACTATATTCGGAGGACCTCAAACGATATTAACTCTTTTGTTTAATAGTTTTTTTTATAGTAATACTAAAACTTGCACTATATATACATATATACATACAAAGATTATATATGGGGTAGGGGTAGGGTGAGGGGGGGGCAGCCGCCCCTACCCCCCTTTGGCTCCGTCCTTGGGTAGCCCGAATTACTAAACCCGATAAAGAACGTAAATAATGAGAGTATTTTAAAGAAGACAGAAAAGATAAGTAAAAAGACTAAAATACCCTATTTATTTTACCTATTAATATTTTTCGGTGAGTTTTGGAGGGCAATTTGATCAGAGTGACCAAAATTGATAAAAATTGAATAGTTATGGTACTAAATTGACAATTTTAAAAGTCATGAATTGAAATTAACAAGACCTCAAAAATTATAGGACCAAAAGTGAAATTAACTCCAAAGACATATCTTTCACATTTTCAATGGCCAAAAGAAACAAATCAACGGAGCAGAATACCATAGCTCAAAATAATGTAAGATCAAATTATATAGTTGCAGATAAAAAGGCCTTTGACGCTCTCAATTCTCTCCTAATTTTGGAAAGTTTTGGCGCGATCCGTCCTTCACGCGGTTTCCTTCTACATGCAAAGTCCGGCGGTGCCTTCGCCGGCGTCCGGCGCTCCGCCGGATAGTGAGGCTAGAAGGACCTTTAAGAAGTTTAAGGCCACGAAGCGTTCGTTCGCTGATGCAATCTCCTCTTCTCCCCGTTTCGGAGATGAGCCAATGGTTGAGTCTGATGATGGCGAGTGGTTCAAAGACGAGATCGAGATCGATCCTGATGTCGAGGATGGAGAAATCGACAACCCCCTGGGTCTACCGGTGGTGAAGTTCTCCAGGGAAATCCGAAAAGAACTTATAGAACCATGGAAGAATGCACTTACACTGAAGTTCTTGGGCAAACGAATAACCTACAACATACTTCTGAACAGGCTGACCAAGTTGTGGAATCCGAGAGGAAAGTTTGAGTTGATCAATCTTGGCTTCAACTGGTTCATCGCTCGTTTCGAAGTGGTTAAGGACTGCATGAAGGCCCTTACGGAAGGCCCGTGGAAGGTTTTCGATCATTACGTAGTTCCCCAACGTTGGTCGCCGAAATTTAATCCGGCGAAAGCCACCGTAGAAAAGATGACGGTCTGGGTTCGGTTCCCGGGGCTTCCTGTCGAGTACTTTCGCGATCACACTATCAAGACTATATTAAACCAGATCGGCTCACCGGTGAGACTGGATCGAACGACGGTGGGGGTGGAAAAAGGCCGTTTCGCAAGGGCCGCCGTCGAGCTCGATCTTCGTAAACCCCTGGTGTCGATGATTATCGTCGATGATATGATCCAGCAGGTCGAATTCGAAGGATTACACACTATATGTTTTGACTGTGGAGAGGCTGGCCACCGTTCAGCCGACTGCCCCAAAAAGACACCTCCGGCTTCTGAGCAACCGGTCGACAACAGCGCTGATTCACCTCAGGAACAGGGTGCGACAATGGCAGATGCTATAGTGGTGGAAAAACAATGTAGCCTACCCCGTTATGGGGAATGGATGATCGTGAAAAATAAAAAACACGTACCGGAAAATCAGAAAAAAAAGGGGACCAGCAAACAAACACAGAAGGGGAAGAAGCCGGCGCAATCTTCCAATCAATTTTCAGTGCTCCGGGAGACTAGGGAACAATTTTCGCCGGAGGAAGTGATGCATCCATCGAAAGGAGAGCGCTATAGACAGAAAGGAAAACAGAAGGAGTCTCTAGGTGAGTCCCCACCCACAGTTGACCTTGCTAACGTTAATCTTAATTTTGTTCTACAGGGACAAAAGAAAGATCAAGCTGGGAAAGCAACAGTGGAAGGTCCTCCCAATTCGGCCAAACAGAAGGGAAATGGCACTAAGAGGAACAACAGTTTGACTAGGATTAATCGACAGGTTACTGCCACTAATCCGTCAACTTCGAAGGAGGCCAATACTGGCCTTGTCACGTTTGTTTTTGGGCAAACAGATGCGTTCAACGGGCAACCGATGGACCTGAATTGCGCACCGGAGGAGAGCGGTAATCCTGTCTCCCCCACCCCCATCGGTTCTCAATGATTTTAGTGTCTTGGAATTGTAGCGGTGTTAAGAGTGGTGGCACGAGGCGGCATGCAAGGGAGATTCTTAAATCAACCGAAGTGTGTGCTGTTTGTTTCTTAGAAACTAAGACTAAAGCTGCTGATGGCTTATTAAAGATGGCTGAGAAGTTGGGTTTCAGTTCATCTTTTATGGTGGACCCTATTGGGTTCGCGGGGGTCCTCCTCCTTGTTTGGAACAAAGACCGGATTTCTCTTTCGGTGGTGGGACATAACTCCCAAACAATCCATACTCTTCTCACGCAGGGGAATGGTAAGTGCGTCAGGTACTCTTTTGCTTAGGTTAGACCTAACCCCAGGGCAAAGGAAATTTTTTGGCAGGATTGCAAGACCTATTCTAGCTCTTTTCAAGACCCCTGGATCATGTTAGGGGACTTTAATGACATCATGGGCCATTCGGATCAGTGGGGAAATGGGGACATTATCCCCGGAGCGGTGGACAGATTTTTGGAAGCGATTAATGATTGTGGACTCATGGATCTCGACTCCTCTGGACCTAGGTTTTCTTGGCATAGGAAACTCGGAGACAGGATCATCCTTCGGAGAAAGTTAGATAGGGTCTTATGGAATATGGAAGCTCAACTCTTGTTCCCTGAAGGGAAGGCTCATATCCTGCCTTGCACCCACTCCGATCACCATCCCATTCAGTTCTCTAGTGCCGCCATTTCCCCACCTCTTAGAAAGGATAGGCCTTTCAGATTCGAGGCTGCATGGCTGTTAAGGGAGGACTATCGGGACATTTGGCATCAGGCCTGGAATGCTCACCCGGGTGACATTTTAGGCGCTATTGATAAAGTGGCTACTTTATCCAAAGAATGGAATCACAAAACCTTTGGGAATATTTTCTACAGGAAAAAGACCATTCAAGCCAGAATTGCGGGGATCCAAGCGTCTCCAAGGTTTGGCTCGGACAAGGGGTTAGTCAAGCTCGAGGTTGATCTGGTCAAGGAGCTCAATACCATTCTCAAAGAAGAAGAAGTCTTTTGGTTTCAAAAATCTAGAAAAGAGTGGATCCGAGATGGCGACAAGAACACTAGTTTCTATCATCGGGCCACCCTTATTAGACGTAATCGGGCTCGTGTGACTATGCTTAAGATTAATGGTGAGTGGACTTCTAATACCCAAGTTATTAAAGACCACATCGCTAATTATTTCAAAACTCTTTTTGGCAGGAATCAAACGGTTAACTCTCTGGATTCGCCGTTACAGTCTGGCCGTTCCATCAGCAATAGACAGGCTTTGAGCCTTATTAGACAGGCGACCCCCCTTGAAGTCCGGACAGCTGTTTTTGGCATGAAGCGGTTCGGTAGCCCAGGACCTGATGGGATTCAGGCGGCTTTCTACCAGCACTTTTGGGACATCATTGGGACCTCGGTAACTGATTTCGTTAACCATAGTCTTGTTTCAGGAACGGTACCTATCGGGATGCTGGAGGCATATATGACCCTCATTCCCAAGAAGGATAGGCCTGAAAACGCGGGGGACTTTAGACCCATTACTCTCCTCAATGTGGCCTTCAAAATCATCTCTAAGGTCCTTGTTAACCGGTTGAGACCGATCATGCGGGAAATTATTGGACCTTTCCAAAATAGTTTCTTACCGGGTAGGTCAACTCTGGATAATGTGATCTTAACCCAGGAAGTGGTTCACAGCATGGAGAAAAATAAAGGCAAGAAAGGCTTTATGATCTTAAAGCTGGACATCCATAAGGCTTATGATAGCCTTAATTGGCATTTCCTAGAAGAGGTTCTTTCGGTCACAAACTTTCCTCGGAGGTTGATTTCTCTCATCCTCTTTGCTCTCAAAGAGAGCACCATCTCTATTAATTGGAATGGCGGTAAAATACCGCCTTTCGGTGTTGGTCGAGGTGTCCGGCAAGGCGACCCCTTGGCTCCCTATCTTTTCATTCTTGCTATGGAGATTCTGTCGTGGGCAATCCAAGAAGAAGTTCGGAAGGGCTTTTGGAAACCGTTCAAAGTGGCTCGAGGGGGCACCGACATCTCCCATCTCTTCTTCGCGGATGACCTTATCCTTTTTGGCGAGGCTTCTGAACAACAACTACGGATCATTCTTACAGTGGTTGAGAAGTTCTCTAAGCAGTCAGGTTTGTCCATTAATTTTAATAAGTCCCTTATCTATTGTTCCCCTAACACTAGTGACAGGACTAAGCGCCAGCTCAGGGAGATTGCGGGAATCCCGGTGACGGATGATATGGGAAAGTATTTGGGCATTCCCGTCCTTCATAAACGGGTTACCAAACATACTTTTGGGTATATTTTGGATAAAATGAAGAAAAAGCTCTCGGGTTGGAAAAGAGACTCTCTCAGTTTAGCCGGTCGCAGAATTCTTACCCAATCGGCACTCGCGACGATTCCGGTCTATACTATGCAAGCCTTGGCCCTCCCTAAGAACATATGCGACACTATTGACAAGACATGTCGTGATTTCTTGTGGGGCGACTCCGAGGATAAGAAAAAAATTCACCTGGTCAATTGGGATGAAGTCTGCGAACCGCGGATTAATGGGGGCCTCGGTCTCCGAAAAGCTAAACATTTTAATGATGCTCTGCTTGCAAAGCTTGCTTGGCAGATGTGCTCTAACTCTGACAAGCTTTGGCCAAGAGTCATGAAAGACAAATATATTAAACAAGGTGACTTTCTATCATCTCCTTTACCAACCTACGGATCATGGGCCTGGAAAAGCATCATCAAAGGGAGGCACACGATCGCCACTAATGCTAACTGGAAAGTTGGAGATGGGCAATCGATTAGCATGTGGAATGATTGGTGGGTTGGATCCAAACCCCTCAGGCTTGAAAATCTAGCCAATATACCGGACGGCATGCAAGAGTGCAAGGTTAGTGAGTTCATTCTGCAGAACAACACCTGGGATTATCCAAAGCTACAAGAGGTTCTCCCAGAAACGGCTGTTGATTCCATCCGAGCCATAGCAATACCGATTGACAAGCAGACCCCTGACTCCATTGGCTGGCCAAAAGGGGATGCAGGTAAGTTCTCTGTGAAGTCTGCTTATCTTTGTCTTACAGGTACTGAGGAGACCGACGAAGATTGGAGCTGGCTTTAGAAGGTGGACTGTGAGGAGAAGATCAAAACCTTCCTTTGGTTAATTCTGAAAGGGAGGCTGCTTACTAACGTGGAACGACAACGGCGGCATCTTGCGGAGTCCAGCGACTGTCCTTGCTGCGAATCTGGTGAAGAAACTCTCAGAGACCTCTTGTGGGAGTGTAACACGACCCAAGCTGTTTGGTTTCTCACAGCGACGCCTACAAATTTTGGTTTCCCGATCCATTGGACTGTTGGAGAATGGATCAAGGCCAATTGTTCCAGGCTTACCACCAAGAGCTGGCGAGAAACGTTCGCGCTTACCCTTTGGATGAGATGGAAGAGCAGGAATGAATGGGTTTTCAATAAGAAGAAAATGACTCCTCTGCCATGTGTCTCTTGGGTGGCTGCCCAGCTTAAGGAGAAGAAGGAGGCTCTAACGCCGATCAACACAGACATGGCGTCCTCTACATGGGTCCAATGGCGTCCCCCTCGTCACAGCTGGCGAAAACTGAACACGGATGGAGCTATCAAACAAAATACAGGGATGGCTTCGGCAGGTGGCCTTGTGCGAGATGAATCCGGGGAGTTGGTTTGGGGGTTCACAACGAAAATAGGAAGGACCAATAGTTTCATGGCGGAGTTGTGGGGCCTAAGGGAGGGTTTACGGCTCTGGCTTGAAAAGGGAGTTTCTCGGGTAATGGTAGAGATGGATTCCAAGACGGTGGTTGATCTCATGAATGGAAAAAATGAGACAGATTCTAGCTATGCCACCTTGTTAAATGATTGCATGGGCATGGTTAAGAACTTCGAAGGCATCCTTTTCGCCCATGTGTTTAGGGAAGGGAATTGTTGTGCTGATTTCTTAGCTAATCTAGCTCAAAACAAAGATTGGGGCACCTGGGTGTTCTCTGAAGCTATGGAAGGTTTGAGGGTTCATCTGGCACGTGATGCTGGGGGAGCTCTCAACCGTAGAATTAGATAATCTTTGAGGCCTAGCCTCTCTTTCCTCACCAAAAAAAAAAAAAATAGCTCAAAATATCCTAGTTGAATGCAAAAGGGTGTTAAGCAGGGTGGAGGAATGCAATGTTTCTCTGATCTTGCGTGAACAAAATCGTGTTGCGGACGCATTAGCAGCCATATCCAGAAGTCTACCAAGAGGATTATAGCTCCTCGAAGTTCCACCGGATGATGTCAAGGCATTGCTTGAAGATGCCGAATGTGGAGTTCTAGCAGGGCGCCAAACCTTTATCTGATCAGTCGTTATATCGTGGACCGCGGTGCACGTACACCGCGGTCAAAACGGCGCCGTTTCTTTAAGTAAAGAAACGACGCGCTGTTATAGTTAACGGAGTGCACATATTTGGTGTATTAATTATTAACTGATACTATGTATCTAAACCGATACTGCCTCACGTATTATTTTATATATTATCAACTGAAACTGCAATTCAATTGAAGTGAAACTGGTATCTAAACTGACATTACCTCACGTATTATTTTTATATTATCAACTAAAACTGCAATTGAATTGAAATGAAACTGCAGTATATATAAAATAAAATTGAATAACATTTCACATTTTTGAGTGTATATTGAGTAATGAAGCTGTAGTTATATCGAAATGATCATGTAGTTCTGTTTTAATGAAACTAACTTTTTGCGAAATGGCGCGGAATGGCACGAAACAGATGGCGTTTGTTTTCATTAAATAAAACGACGTCGTTTTGACGCGCGGTGCACGATATAATTTGCCCTAGCCGATTGAAATTGTATTTCGGTCTTGTATGGTTCACCCCTCCATTAAATATTAAAAAAAACAAATCAAATTAAGTAAATATTATTATAGTTTAATTTTTACTATAAAAGAGAAAACAGTTAAAAAAAAATGTCATGACTTTTTCTCAGGTCCGCACATTTTTTAGTGTCAATGGTGATTTCTTCATTTCGATTCTCTAATATAGATTGACTTTTATATAATTTGTTATATATATAAATTGGAGTAATATATCATTGCTAATCTCTACCAGGGTATACATCTCAATATCGAATTGTGTTTCTATTCCAAAAGTAGCCTTCTTTCTCTACTACAATTTTTAATTCTTAATCCTTATATTTCAAATCTAGATTGTGTTGTTTTCTTTACTGCCTTCAATTTCGAATCCTTAATTCTTGCATTGTATTTCAGATCTAGATTGTGTTGTATTTTTTTATGTTTCTTTACTACAATTTCGAATTCGCACCCTGCATTGTATTTTAAATGTAAATGATGTTCTATTCTTTTCGATTTTCATACTGCAATTTTGAATTCTTAATCCCTGCATTGTATTTTAGATTTAGATTCTATTGTGTTCTTTTTGTTTTCTCTGTTGCAATTTTGAATTCTTAATCCCTACACTACGGATGTAGATTGTGTTGTATCATTTTCGGTTTCTCTATTGCAATTTTTACATTTTATCTATACTAGTTTTTTACGCGCATTGCGCGATTGGGATAATGCCCAATGATTTTTTTTTGTTCATGCATATATAATTGAATGTTGAATTTGCCTATTTAAATTGGTAATTCTAAATTTACAAATGCAAGATAATATAGTCAAGATTGATTATAATTGTCAATAAAATAATTGTATAGGTATGGTTGAAACCAAATACGTGACATAAGGGAGGGCAAATAAAAATTAAGGCATAAAATATTAAATGTATACTAATATTGAAGAGCTAACTGCTGATTACCAAATAAGGACATTGAGAGGTAATTTCCCACTTCAATTTGTTGTGTGAGTCGAATACTCTTTTTGTCAATAAATCCCCCAAGTAGTTAATTAATATGATTGGCTTAATTATATTTTTTTAAACAATTATTATTGTTATTATTATTATTATTATTATTATTATTATTATTATTATTATTAAATATATGTATACCCTTAGGTCATTTTACATGTTAATCTAAACAACTAATTGTTTTAAATATATTTTTACCAACTGTTGATATAATTCGCTGGTCAAATTCGCTAATATAATCCGCTATCGCTAATTGCTCATTGTCAAACAATGACATTGTAAGGTAGTTCTCACTTCAATTTGTTGTGTGATTTGAATACTCTCTTTGCCAACAAATCTCTCAAGTAGTTAATATTATTGGTAAATAAATATATAGCTTATTTTGTATTATAACTTTGATATTTAATTAAAAAATAGTGCAAAAAAAAAAAAGATAATAGACAATGTAGTGAATATAATCAATTGATGAATTTGAATGTAAAAAATTTTTACGTTGGAGAAAAATAAAGACAATATAACTAATAAAAATTATTTCTCTTAATTAATTTATTGATAATGAATAATTATTTTTAATAAAAACATTGTAGGGACAATGTAGCTGATGGTTTTTGGGTTTTCGGGCCCAAGGAGGTCCAACACAACCTTTAGCTGGAGGATACACCTTTCAATAAAGCTTGCTAAGTGAAATGAAATGCTTGTAATGAACTTGTCTGTTACTCCCTTCTCCGGGTCTCAACTTGTCTCTCTTGCAAGGGTGGAGGAGCCTTTAAATAGCAGGCTCCCCTCCTATCGACTTGAAGACCCTTAATGGCCGACTTCAAGGCTAATTAAAATATCGAGCCGTTGGACGTCGTTACTAAGTCGACCAACGGCTCTCACAAGCTCGTAACAGCCTAACCGAGCCCCGCCTTTAATGTCCCAACGGCTCCCGTTTAAATGAGTCTCTTCAATGCTCTCAACGGCTCCTCGAACCGAGTCTCTCCTTGGGCTTGGGCCCCGGTCGACTCCTCGTCCTGACCCAAGCTCTCACTGGGCTTCTCTTAGCAGCCCTGGGCTGGATCCCCCGTGCCTGGGCCTGGGTCGACTCCTGGACTCGGCCCAAGCGCTCTCCGGGCCTCTTTTGACGCCAGCCCACACCTTCTATTTTGGATCTTCTTCCTTGGGCCAATCTCTCTTGGGCCGAGGTCCTCATCCCATCAACTAGTCCCTCACTTTTCCATACCCGGTCCGCTAACCTGGGTTTGGAAAAGTAGTAACCGCTCGTCTCCTTCAATCACCGTATCCGTGCCTTGAATGGCCCTCGTAACGCCCGGATTCTCTGCCATTCTCCCCGGATTCAGTGGGACCGTTTGGATCCTCCTGGCTCGACTTAGCACCTATAAATGGCCTCCTCCTCTCTTCATCTCATCCATTGGTCCATCATGGGTCGTTCACCTCTGAAGGGGAAACGGATTGACTTTGGGTCTCCTTGGCGCCCGCTGCCTTCAAAGCGGACTCGGCCTGAAAGAGAAAACAAGAAGAAAACCCCTCGCCCGGCTTCTCAGAGGTCTCCTGCCGGCGCTACTCCCTCAGCTCCTCAGCCGCCGACTCCTCCTCGGCGCGAGGTCGCTCCGTCTTCGCACCATCCGCCTACTCCAACAACTGCCAGGGTGATTTCTCAGGACGGGTCCTTCGTTGAAGTAGCCGTCCCCGAGCAGCTGACTTTCCGCATGACCTTCTCCATCCCATTGGATGACCTGGACGGGCCGGTTACAGGCCTGATGGATGATGAGGATTACGTCCGCTATCTGGAGACGTATCCGGATAACGAGGAGCCGGTTGTGCCACCACTCATGCCGGCCTTCTGGGACTCGTTCTGTCCGTCTCCTCCTGGACCATCGGGGGGATTCTTCGGGAGCGACTCCTCCTCGCCCGGCGAGTGATCACCTAGGCCGGAGTCGGCTTCATGTTTCTGGGGGGTCTTCTTAGGAGCACTTTTATTATCTTTATTGTAATAAGCTCCCCATTACTTGTACCCCTCTTCTCATAATAAAATGATATTTTTCTGTCTTGTTTTGCATTCCATACTTATAGCATACCTGCCCGGCCGACTTGTCGAGGAGTCGGCCGTATCGTCAGGCCTCTTTTTCAGTCTGGCACCTGCGAGATACCCCGTATCTTTGGGCGAATCTAATCTTTTCAGCCTAGCGTGCGAATCTTGGTCTTCCCAAGTGGATTTGATGGAATTAGTCTCTGACAGAGATTCGCACCACCCGTCTAATCCGGTTCAGTTACGTCAGTTAGGATTCCCTCCGTAATTTGTGCCTGGATAATCGCTCCCTTAGGGCTATATAAGGATCCTTAGTGACTTTGCAGATCACATTGTTCTTCTTTCCAAAGGTGTTGAATCATGAGTTTCAGAGACGGTAATCGTCGCTGGTCCATCCGCAACAAGGAGCATGCTCGACTGGAGAAGCTGAAACAGAAGAGGCTGGCGAACAGAGGGCGCTTGGTGGGCGACTTCACCTCAGACCCCATCGTGGTGCCTCCGGATATGCTGGACCTGATGCTTGTGGAGTCGGTTGATGTGGAGATGGAGCCGGTGGTAGACGATCCAGAACCAGAGGTGGAAGAAGTGTGGGAGGTTCCTCCACTTTTTGGCGTCGCCATGTCGCCAAGTGCTTTGGAGAGGCCTCTGTAAATGATCGATGATGGGATGCCGGCCGTGTACCTGGACGAGATGCCGGAACCTGAGCCGAGTCCTCTGCCTTTCCGCCCTCAGTACTTCTTGGAGGGTCCGCCGCCGGCCCGACCCTCGGAGGAGAAGGAAACCAAGCCTTGATCTGTTTTTCCCTGTAGTTTGCATTCGGCCGAGTTGTAGGCCTTGTACTCTCCATGCCTTATTAAATAAACTGTGTGCTTTTGCGTCTGACTTTATTTTCACATACTTTTTGACCGACCTCCGGTCCATGTGACCGATTCCTGGTCCTTTCACGGCGGGACCCCCTTGGCGAAGGAGTCGCCGGATCTGGCTGTCCGACCTCACGACCAGAGTCTTTTCGCAAACCTGACTTACGTTATCTGACGGGCCGGGTTCTACCGGGTCTCTCCAGAAGCTTCCAACTCATACCCGGTGGGCCCAGAGGCCATGGCCTACAATGGGCTTCCGGCTTAGCAGGCCGGGTCACTGCCACCCGGCCCTAGCCTAGGGCAGACGCGC